TCTCTCTCTCTCTCTCTCTCTCTCTCTCTCTCTCTCTCTCTCTCTCTCTCTCTCTCTCTCTCTCTCTCTCTCTCTCTCTCTCTCTCTCTCTCCATGGGAGATCAAGGAAACAGAACGGCTCAGTTATGATTGTGGCAAACACAAAGGCTGAGGTAGTGGAAGGCCTGTCACAACGTGGTAATTTTTGCAGAGGAAGGAGAGATGCAAGGAATATGAGCGAGAGCGATAGACAGAAAACCAGAATGCAAAATCACGAAGCAGTCCAGATAGTCAAGTACCAAGCAGAGAGCTCAAATGCACAAAGATACCATCCAAATAAGAGCAATACAATGAGCTCGAGTGCCAATGCCGACGCTCTCTGGTCACACCAACACTGTATCCAAGCCGCCCCTACTGTCTGGTGCTCAGCGCCCAGCCTACTCTACTCAGGCTATCTATCCTATCTACGTTCATGCGACTCGATCACACCGAAGTCGAAGACCAATGTACGTGACGTCAACACCAATGCCGACCACCAGCATACACCAGGTATGTCCTCTCTCTCTCCCTCCTCATCACCCCTCGTCTCCCCACATCATGCGCCTCCTACCCGAAGACCACCTTCGTCATCACCTGCCTTGCGCCCCTGCAGCCCGGCAATGGATGCTGTACGCGCGCTGCCCATGCAGCGCCCCTCACCTCAGCACCCATGCGTGCATCCGACCAGCAGGCCCATGCAGATGCTAGCGCAGCAACGCAGCAGTGTGTCCGCATTGCCTGTCAAGGCCAGAATGCCTCTCCCAGAGGCTCACACTTTCCTTTATGGAAAGTGTGTCGCTGCTGGCTGTCCTGGCCTGGCGTGTGGGGGCCCAGTAGCTTCAGTTGGGCCCCAAGTGTCTGCGCCCAGGCCCAGTTTCCGAAACTGGACTGGGCCTCATGCAGTTAGACACGTCCAGGCAGCCTCCCAGCCTCCAAGTGGTTGCAGCATTCTCATTGGCTCGCGGCACATGTGTGACGATAATGCTGCTTCCTCATTGGCCCATAACCAGTCCGGGATGTGTCGGCCTCACACAGCGTGTGCCCAGGATGCAACCGCCTGAGCCCTGGGCTCAACTGTATAGCGCAGCCCTTTGCTTCTGGAAAGAGCCTGGAGGCTCACGTTGCTCTGTAACCAACTGCCGTGCTGCAACTGTCTGAGTACCCACATATGGAAAAATTGTCGATAACAGGCCTCAAGTGGATATTCAGGCCCGCCGTCACTTAGGGCGGGCACGAGGCTTGCTGAAGGCCACAGCCCAGAACACTTGTATGTTTGATAAGGGCTCCGCGAGGCCCATTCCTCGCAGAGAAATAAATTATAATTAGAAAATAATAAAGGAAACTGAAGGTTGCATCCACAGACAGGTGAAAAGGGAAAGGGTGGAGTACCTGTCGAAGGGCCTGAACCAATGCATCCCGCCTTGGAGTTTGAATTCTACCAAATCGTGATATCTGAGCCACACAAAAATATTTCAAATAATTACAATGAGTTTCTATCAACAGCTTCTCTGCGTACGCAACGCTTAGTTGATCATTGGCTTCCACGCCTTTTTTTTTTTTTCCTTTTCTTTTTTAAAGGGTGACAGACTTGAGATATGATAATGGAACTGACCGGCCCTCCGTAATTCAAAATTGTAATGTTTCTCACTCATCTGCTTCCAGTGGAGTTTGAACTCAGGTCTGTATTCCAACAGTTCAGGGGTGTACCGACTGAGCCAGGCCAGTTGGTATTGGCTTCCAGATCTTCATTGAGATGATTTGACATTATTTATGGGTCATTCTACACAACACAACCGAAAATCTTTGCAGTTCAAAAAGTTCTGAAAATCCTGCCCACATACGCACCATCAGCAACGAATGCGTCCAGACTCTGCAGAGTAGCATGTGGAACATTCTTCAATCCATAAGAACCAACTTTAAACCGGGACCGGTTCAGGTTCAGGTTCAAACCTCAAAACTCAAACCTCGAACCTCAAAGTTCACAGTTCGAAGTTCAAAGTTCAAAGTTCAAAGTTCAAAGTTCAAAGTTCAAATCTCAAATCTCAAAGGTCAAAGGTCAATGGTCAAAGGTCAATGGTCAAAGTTCAAAGTTTTTAAAGGTCAAAGGTCAAAGGTCAAAGGTCAAACTATGTGGTGGCAATTTTGTTCCACCCGGGGAGCTCTTCTTTCTTCAACAATAATGCACGCAACAAGCTTCAGACGAACATTTTAGCTGTGTTAAATTCCGGGCCGCCCGGCGGCCCAGCCTCCGTCCGGCAGGGGTCCTGGGCGGCCCGGCCGGTTGGGTCCCCCGGTTCGATGCCCCGCGGGCCCAGCGCATTTTTGCGCGGGGGGGGGG